TTTTTTTTTTTTTAGTTTTTGTTTTGTTTTGTTTTTACTTTCTATTTTTCCCCCTGAACATTTCTATCTACCAAATTGAACCTTTCTATATTCAGGGCATTTCAGATTGATGACTTGTTTCTTATCACTCTCATCACTCTAACCTCAAAAATCCTTGAATTTTTAGGATCATCTGTGGGCTCACTCAGTTCACCAATAAATGCCATATTGCTTTTGCTGCATTAGAAGCTGTTTGTTTCCAAACCCGAGAGGTAATAAATATGGACTTGCTTTCTTACACTTCACCTGCTTTTATCATTCTTAAACAAATTACATGAGTGTCAGAAATTTATTGACTGCTTAATACATCTATTAAATACTTAATCGAAAACTAAACCTGCCTAAACACTAATCTGAGAAGTGTAAGCGTTTGTTCTTTTTCCAGCTGGCATTACCTTCTGAGTTCTGTCATCTGCCAGGCACTGGGCACTTTATGGTTGGGGACATGCTGAGTGGGACACGTCAGGCAAAGGGAATCGCACCAACAGGCCTTGGGGCGGGAAACCCGAGTATAAAACACACTTGTTCGGTTTCACCGGACCTTTTGGCTAGAAGTATGAGGACCGAGGTGTTAGGGGACAAAAAGCTGGTTGTGAGCAGACCCAGGAGCGCTTAGAGGACCTGTGTGAGGAGCCTAAACTTTATCCTGTAGGCTTTGGGAAGCCCTTGAGCACTCCTTTCGTAGATCACCGCTCCCGGGGAACGTTACTGTGAAGTAGCTCATGTTCACTGCGTTGGCTTATTTAAGATCCTGGATGCCATGAACCGCGACTGTGGGATTCCGCTGAGCCACCTGCAGGTGGATGGAGGAATGACCAACAACAAGATCCTCATGCAGCTGCAGGCGGACATTCTGTACATCCCCGTGGGTGAGTGGGCCCCGCCCGTCCCCCCGCACTGCTTCCTGCGGGAGCGCTGGGCGCCGGGCGTGTGTTGAAGCGCAGACGCGGAGGCCGGTGCGGAGGCCCGCACTGACTGGCGCCGCTCTCCCCTCAGTGAAGCCCTCCATGCCAGAGACCACCGCCCTGGGGGCTGCCATGGCCGCGGGGGCCGCAGAAGGAGTCGGCGTCTGGAGCCTGGAGCCCGAGGACCTGTCAGCCGTCACGATGGAGCGCTTTGAACCCCAGATCAATGCTGAGGGTACGTTTGAAAAATGAAACTTTTTATTTATTTATGGTGTGAGCCCGTGATTTAAAAGATAGCATTTATCTTCATTACTTATACACATATCCAGCCGTGTCTAAATAGGAGGCCCTGGGCTGTAGTATCAGGTGGGCATTGCAAACTGCTGCGTTCTAGAACTAGGAGGCGTTTGGTGAGGCCCCGAGGCTCGGCAAGACTCCCCTCTCAGGCTTCCTTTATGTCGAGGTTGGCACTCTCACCCCACTCATTCTACTGTGTTCTGGGAGGTGTTATTTTTAATTCAGGGACCTTATAATTGACCATAGAGACCCTTGAGTCCATTGACCATGTGCCAGACATATGTGCTAGGTCCTGGGGAAGGGAAAATGAAACTTTTCATGGTATAGTGTGAACACAACCTCGGCGACAGAGAGCTTGCCTTTCTGTTTATAAGTCAAGGGACTCGGGACAATAGCAAATGCTACTGTTTCAGGTTTGGCTACTAAGCATGTTGGGCTACTCTGGATGAGTGTGGATGAGAGAAATTGTTCCTTATTTTAAAAGAAACAAACTTCTAGGATCACATGTTTACTGCTCATGTGTTACAGTCCTTTTGTGTAGGATAACACTGCCACACTATCAGTTCTAGCTTGTTTGAATAGCTTTTAAAGAATTTTTTTTAAATGTGTTTTTATTAATTTTAGGGGGGGGGAGAGAAACATCAATGATGAGAGTCATTGACCGGCTGCCTCCCGCACGCCCCCTGCTGGGGATGGAGCCCGCAACCCGGGCCTGTGCCCTGACCGGGAATCGAACCGCGATCGCCTGGATCCTAGGTCAATGCTCAACCGCTGAGCCACACCTGACAGGCTGAATAGCCATTTTTAAAAGGGAGAAGGGAGACATATCAGTGACCCACCCCTAATGTCTACACAGGATTGTCTTTGGTGCCAATGGACAAGTTTTAGGACATGATTAGCTGGACTAAGGGATAGTCTGGTAAATTTGAAGCACAGCAGGGCTAGCCTGACAAAAGCAGCAACAGTTTAAATAAATGAGTATTAAATATTCACTTTTCAACAAACTAAGCTAAGGTCCCAGCTCTGACTGACACCTTTATTAAAATAGTATAGTGCTAAAAAAAAAAAAAAAATAGTGCTGCATCTCTTAAGTTGAAGCAAATTTGAGTACAAAAATAAGGTTTTATGTGCACTGAATTTGGTTTTCTAACTTTAAAAACCTATGCATAAAAATAGCATGAAAGTGAATTTTGAGCTATTGGGAAATAAGCTTCAAATGCATTTTTAATTTTCTGGAAGACTATGCCAGCGCTTCTTAATTTAATTCTTTCTTTCCCATATACAAGAGAGTGGATTGTAATACTAATGACTTTAAAGTCAGACAGTATGCCATGTACCTTGATGCAGAAATGTGTTTCAAAAGTTAATAGTCTATCTGGAAATAATTTTTCACTTTTGCAATATTGGATCAAACATGAAGTTCAATTTTTTTTCATGTTCTGAAAAAAATCAACTTTTTAATAAGCAAATAATGTTCACAGCAAGTATATGGTCTTGAGATGCTAATCCCACTCCGAAATCAAGGAAGTTTTGTGCAAAAAGTTAAGGATCACTGTCTCCTGAGAAGTATCTTTGAGGTTTTTAAGGCTCTGGCCCAGAGTTGATCAGTTATGTCAATTGTCCTTCCATTCACCAGCCCCTCTCTCTCCCCACAACACACAAATGCACACACACAGGAATCAGCCACTAGATGTAGATAGTTCTTACAGCAAATGTTTGTTTAGAGCTGACTACAGGCCAGAAACTGTCGTTATGTGGGGATATAGAGATGAAAAAAGACCACCAAGTCCTTGCCCTCCAGGAGACTCAAGGATCCTGGGAGAGGCAGACAAACCATGAAGAGTCAGTGTAGACGCTGATCTGAGGTGTGTGTGAGGTGCTGTGGGAGTGGGATGAGGGCCAGCAGTGGGCCAGTGGAAAGCTTTCTGAATCGAGTGACATTTGGCAGTGCCTCGCAGGAGCTGCAGGCTCGGGGTGCTGTGAGAAGGCTGGGGAGCTCGAAAGAAGGGCAGCTTCATGCATGTTGCCTATCAGGGGTGCAGGGTATGTGTAGACGCGCCCGTGCCCATTTCTGTCTAGTCCTCTTAGTGTGGGTTTCCGCCTAAAGAAATCCTGTCTGGCAGGAATGCAATTTGAACCCTGTGAGAAATCAATGCTTATTAAATCCTTTGGCTGGACCAAAAATAATTCTAGTCTTTCCACATTATAGCATACCCCTCCCTGTATCCCAAACA